AGGAGATACCTCGAACTCTTGAGAAAATTAGAACGCAAATTATTGAGAAAGTTGAGAAGGCGTGACTGGTTCTACAGTGATTGGCATTGCTTCATAAAATCTAGTAGCCAATTTCGTAACTAATACCCCCACTTTACCCACATTTCTTCAATTCATCGTTCTAGAAAAGTTTCGCGAGTAATACCTCTCACCTGGGAGGAAGCTGCATAATTTTCTTTCAATTTCTTGTTGTTTTGGAAATTACTAGTGTGTAGGTGATAAAGTATCAAAGTACAGTTAATTTAATGTGGTGATGTTTGTTTAAAAAAGGTCAGTTAATGTGATTGTTTCGGGCGCACAGTTACTGTAGTAATAATTCTCGTAAGTATAGTACATTGTATATCCCGGGAGGTGGAGATGTTCGTCTCCCGTTGGTACCGGCCTACTGGTGGAGTTGTGGGGGGTTTTTCTTCCAGGTATCTCTCCCAATGGGACACTGTCTCATCCGGGGCAAACTGTAGGGGTCCAACTTGTCTCGCGACAAGTGAGGCAGAGTTAAGGGGGGGAGGGTCAAGGATGAAGAACGAGAGATAGCGGGCGGTTCTCTGCCCGTTTGTTAGAGAACGATTCCGGCATCCGCCTGGTATTGATCAAAGAAGCCATGCAATTACCGATCAAAGCAGCCGTCCGCCATAATTCTTCTCCATACCGTTGAATTCGACACAGTATAGAGCTAATGACGAAAATCCGCCACCGACTGGACACGAACTCAAAGGACTCCGGTCAAAGACGTTGCAGGGATAACGGTGTTGCTTCTGACCGAAAATGTCTTCTTATTAAAAGATGTCAACAACATTTGTTGTTATTTTTATACCTAATTCAACTAGAGGGAGTAGGAATTCCAAAGACCAAGAAAAAATGCGTGTATAACAAATCCGCCAGTAGGTAACAATCAAATTCACGATTTTGTGGTCTTCGCGCAAACTCAGAGCATAAACAATGCGTTGTTTACAAGCTATTTAGCCCACAACAGTTTTGGATACATCATATTTGCACGAAGATTGGAATTAATATTCAAATCAGCAATTGAATTCGCCCACAATGCATTGAGTACATTGCTTTTCAAGCAGTGATCGAAAGTAAATACCTATGAGTTGTAGCACATACTCACAAGTTATGGGAACTTTTATACATTCTCAATATGTAAAATTTTCCCTCATTGATCGTATACGGTGTTTGAATATAACATATACAAAACTCATGATAATTTTCCATTTAACTCAGGTTTGAATAATTTAATGACTAGGGTAAGCTTTAGTGAGCCTAATTTGTGTAACGTTGATATTTAACTTCTATAGTCACTACATCGGGTATCAAATTCTTATAAAAATAACCTGCTGCTTACAAATTTCATTTTGTATGCTTTTATCACTCTTAAAATTCAACTAGTTTATAAGCCTCGTAAAAACTACCAAATAGGTTATGTTTATCATCTCACCTGTCATAGTACTATTGAGTATCTGAGGATCACGCACTTCGGCGTTGTTTTCTCTACATTTCTTCGCATAAAAAATCTTGTGTTACACCCGAATTTCCAGATAACACAATCATTTCCAACTTATTAATAATTTGTGAAATAACACTGCAATTTGAAAACAAAAAATTGAAATTCGTTGTGCATTTGTCAACAATGCAAATGGTTTAAGCGTCGCAATATTTTCTTTGAAAAACAAGCTGAATGCATTTCGGATGGTGTTCAGCTCTCAAGACATCAAAAATAATTCCCAGTAGTTTTACGAAAAATAACAAAATTATGGTAGCTTATTTCCATTACAGTTGCTATCAGATCTGGCTGTTTTAACAAAATAATACTAATAAATATTTGTAAATTTTTGTTAAGTTGCACGAGGAAATTAGATTTCTAGTTGAAACGAATTTTTCCTCAAGAATATAAACTCCCCGTCATGTCAATTTCCTCTCATATTTTACTCCAAGATCCATGATACAATCATTTTCACTAAAACGTTTACACGAATTAATTGAATTTATGCTTAATAAGCAGGCTCAGACCTAATTCCGAAGGCAACATAAGTCCGTCTTTTACAGCTTATAATGTATATAGATTGAAATAGTTTTGATCTGCCGTGCCGTGTATAGAGTAATAGTGCACATCATATAACGTTAATCAAAACGTATCTAGAACATAATATAAATTTAGGGGAGTCCGAGGGGAAATTTAATTTCCAGTGATCAGCTTTTATTAAACCCCGATTTTCTCAAAGAAAATAAAGAATTTAAGTGACGTAAGTTACATGAATCTCCGGCTACGTTGTGTAGCTGTTAACACCTTCCTAGAGATGCACGCAAAACGATCACTTCGGTCTTCTTCAGCGTAATGTTGGTATTGGCCACAAACCCCTGTCTAAAGTAAGATAATTGAGTGGGCGCCGTCTTTTGTGTTCTCAATGCTCTGATTGATTGATGGTTATTTTGTGTGTCCTCGCGAGACACTTGCTATGGCCATTAATCCCGTTCCGTGCACGGAATTCCCGGAATATGGCGGTGTTCCTCCCCCGCTGAGATCAGGCACCGACCTACACGTCTGCTTGTGAGATCGGCGGGATTCCGCCGCAGCCCGCACCCGCTCGATGTTTGGGACTGGTCTCTCAATGTTGGTAGTGTAGTGCATGTAAGTGTATGAGTGTGTGTGTGTGTGTGTGAAAGGAGAGAGAGAGAATAGGACAAGAAAGAGGAAGGGAAGATCGCGTGTGGTTCCTAGCCCGTTTGTTAGGGCACTGCTCCTACATTCGCGTGATGTTTATCGGTGAAACCACGGAGAACTACTGTTCGGAGCAGTCAGACGCTACAATTCTTTTCTAGGCTGCAGCTAAATTCAATCTATGTAGCTACATAACTGTAGCTAATTCTGTCACTGTTGAAACGCGAACTTTTGGACCTACCCATCTGACACTCTACAGAGGCAACAATTGCCTCTAGTCGCCTGAGCTGGTATAGGTGCCCTGAAGGTTTAAAACAATAGATAATTTCCTTGCAATTATTTATGATTTTTTTAATATTTTGTTTACGAACTTTGGTAATATAAGTAAAGTCAACCACAAAATCGATATCAGTCGTAATATATGTTATTGGAACACAAGTATTATAACAATCCATGACTTGCTATTAACAGAGATAAGTTTCGTAACGAAAAGGAAAAGTGTTCACAAATATGTTCTAATGATCTGTGGATCTTGTTAATTGCTGTGGTCTTGTTAACAAACGAAAAGTATAATACATTGGAATTTTAACCAGATGGGTAAAACGTACGATATTCATATCTTAACATCTTATTTCAATACAATGTAGGCTTTCATGGCCGGTGTCGATATTAAGCGATGTTTCCAGGCTTGTAGGCCGTGGTCCAAAACAGATTACTACTCCAAATGTTTCGCTTGCAACTGCGGCAAGCATATTATATTTTCTGTATATGCTTAGGTGTTCAAATTCAGATCAACGTAACAACGTAAGTGTTACACGAAGCATATGTTCTTTGGAATACGGCCTTCAAACCTGGAAACATTGAATAATATCTTATTACAATACTAGAGATTGGTTATCAAACTCGGCTTTGCAACTTCGTTTTATAATTCTCTAATCTCTCGAATAAGATGTGTTGTGATATTTATTTCTTAAATAACTATTATATTGTATTTTCTTTTAATGTCGCTGAATTACCTATTAGTAATTCTGGTGAGATTTGAAAAGCATCCTTTGCCCCCGGGGATATATTCATTTTTGAATGAAGTACTGATTGTATATGCTTCGCGTATTGACACTGTTATGCTGTACTGCATTAGAACACCTAAGCATGCACAAAAAAGATATCAGAGAATAGTAGATACAGTTGCAGAGAATAGCAGTATTCTGTGCTTTGTGTCTAGGCCTCTTAGATACGCCCGTGGCGCTACCCTTACTTTTCAAGAACACACCCTTGTGTTTCGCAATCAACGGAGACACGTTGAGTCACTGCGTTAGCGACCACGTGCTAGTCTTGTTGTGACTGTCGCTGTGTTGAGGTTTGATGATCAGGAAGCTCGTTGAGAAGAAAGATGAATTCTGCTAGCAAGGTATTGTGACTTCGTTTGTTTTTGTTTTTTTATTCATGCGAATGATAATTAGTAAATAGAATAACCTATCTAATAGAAAATATTTAAGTAATTCCTTATTTCGCGGTAATAAAAATACTTTTGGTCTTGCACAAGATGTACGGTGATTATTTAGAGTTGTTTTTATTAGAAGGCGAATTTACAAAACTATGCAGTTCTAAATCATTTTTAACCTTGAGGTGGTAATTCGATTATATTCTTCTTGAATTTTTCGTGTGAAGCCATGTCTGAAATTGTAGGTACGCGAGCATAACTGAATGTTTCGTACTCTTTAATAAAAATAATTGCGCCTACGGATTTTGAGGAATGAACCAAAAGTGTTATTGCCAGCCTTAATGGTGCTGGCGAGATCAAATTGGAAGGCTGCTGAATGCTATGTATCAGATGCTGTGTAAATAAAATGAAAATGAGAATTTATTTGTAAAATTGTAATGAATTGAGATGGAATTGTTCGTGTTATATGTTTACATAAATTTTATACGGTTGTGTATTATTCGTTACATAAATGTAACTGCAACTATGTGTGCACATTTTCTATCGTTTAGAAGGAAATAAAGTTATTCAAATTAACGATCTCTATTTTTTCGAGGCAGTAGGTAGATTCGTTCACGAATGATACGATGAGTACCAACAGAGAAAATCTGTAGCTGTTTACCGTTGCAAATAGTTTTTATTACACTGGAACGATTATCTAATCAATTGGCGCCAAAAACACTTGTTTCCACCTGCATTTATAATTCAAATTGTTTACTATTAGGGTAGAGACCTGGAACACTTCTTAATAATAGAGAACCCAGAATATAAGAATATATGCCCAGAATGCACTTCTCCCCATGGTCCATTATACACAACTTTTAACGGTTTTTTATGTTAAGTAAAAGAGGGTTGAGATAATTTAATGTTAAATTAATCTCTTGCTCAGATTTATTTTGGAGAGTTTTTCTGAAATGTGTAGCAACCTAGTTTGTTACTATTGTATTGTTGATGCATTTAATGCCATAAAAGAGCAGTGAAAATATTTCTTCTGTTAATTAGAAATATCAAAATGAAATAAACATTTTGAAGACAAACCTGCTACTTGAAATTGATTTTTGTACTCCATTATTTTTTCAATATACTTTTGTGTTGCATTCCTTAAAGTTATATTTGTGCAAAAATTGAATTATTTCATGGAACATCAAGAAAACTAAGTAAAAGCAAATACGGATAAATCTAAGATTTATTGAAGCCATCTGGTGAATGACACCTTTTTCTTGATATTTTTTATGAGCCTCATAATTTACATTGCCTGTATTTCTAATAAATTTCATTTTTTGAAACCTAGAAGTGACATAATAGTTTTTCAATTTCATTTCTCTACATAAGTAGGCATTTATATAAATTAATTTTGGAAATTCAGTGCTTTAATTTCTTACTTAATCAAAATTTTAGATGACAAGATGACATGCCCAGTTTTCAACTTGAAAAATATTCTGTTTTTTCATTTTGTAATAATATTATCAATTAGATGTGTTGATTCAATTCTGGGATATTTATTTCAACAAATTATCTATTTTAAATAATTATTTGTACATATAAATAAATTTTTGAAATTATCTCCAATCTCTTAAAATATTTGATCATATTTTTCCATTAGGACAAACTGTTCTTCCAAATTGTATGGTTTGGAATTATTCGTAAAGATAAGGAATAAGTGTAATGTTAAGGTTTAAGGAGTAAGTGTATTATGGATAAAGGCTGTTTTATAAACAAGTATTAGCTTACCAAATATGTATAAAAAAGCAAATTAATTTTGGTATGAATTCTTTTTGGGATTTTGAGATTTAAATTTTCCTGTCTGAATTGAGAAGAAAATCTCTTTTGTCACAGGTTGGAGAGATATTCATTGCTGCTGGGGAGGCGTTTAAGAAGTTGGCTGATTTAACAATGCAGCTTCATCCAGCTGCAGGCCCGTCAGATGGGTAAGTAGAGTCGCAGTGACACTAGAACTCCTTTTTAACATTGGGCAGGGAAACAAGACTGAGGAAAGGGAAAAGAAGTGGCACCAGAGATAAAGTGCTTTTATGTTTTCCTAAAGAAATAATAAGTAATAATGAAGCAAATACTAATGCCTTAGAAAAATCCAAATCTTACCTTTTTTGTCTCGCAAAGAATGCATTTGATTGTAGATGTTAAGAGATAGCCATAACAATGTTCTGAGTTTAAGATCATTGTATACCTCATCGGGGAATAGCAAGCTTAAAATACTGTTGGATGTAATTTTACATTAACCTGACTGGGGACAACAAGTACCCTGTTCCAATTTGTACTTTTAAAATTTTTTGTTGCAAACAAGAAAGTTCTTATCTTAATATTACGCCTGCTTAACAAAACAGATTATGAAATTTTGTCATTCATTGTATGTAAATTTTATTACAAAATATTGTTAATTTTTAAATAGTACTTTTTTATTACTGTGTAACTGCAGTTCAAAATGCTTTAATTTCAAGTAAAACAAGTTTTTTTAATTTATGCAATTATTTTTAAAAAGTTTTTTATTATTTATTAAAGAAATTATTTAAATGTTTGTGCTCATTGAATTTGTATTCTCAGAACTTTAATACACCCCCTAATCGTGTAGTATCTTCATTGTAACCTTAACCTCTGGTAACACTTCTTGATCTTTCAGCTTCATGTGCTTTTGCTGTTTAGGACTTTTAATGAAATGTAGGACTTTCTTTTATTTTATTTTTTAATACATTGTACAAGACTGAAAAAGGTGATTGGAATACTGGAAAAGGGAAAAGGTATTTAGTAAAAAAGAATTAAGTCGAAATGTAACTTTTGTGTACAGAGTAAATTCATCTGAAGTTCAGAATAAAAGGGCCGGTTGATTGTAGTGTAAATTTTGTTATTGAGAGGTGATGAGGAAGATGTGTAGAATTAAATCATTTTGAAGGTTTAAGAAAGTAGTTTTGAGTTTTCTATAAATTATATTATCTTTGAAAAGGATGAACTGAAAATGAAATCTGCTTCTCAACTTTTAACAGGAACAAATATGTCATTCATTTCTTTTTGTTAATTTTGCAAATTGCATTTATTTTTATTAATGAAGCATTTTTGTAAAGCAATATCAGTTGTGCAATTTGCTTTGTTTAGAAAACAAGAAAGTATTAAATGATAAATTGGATGCCAATTGGTCAGCGAAGCAGATTTATCTTTCTGACAAATTGGTGGTGGTTTTGGTGGAAGTAATCTAGAATTTATACACCAGGAAGTTTTTAATTCAGATGAAAATTTATTTAGTGTTTTTACTATGCACTAATATAATTTGCAATATTCAAGAAAATGTAATCATGAGCATATGTACAAATTCAGAATTTTGTCAATTAGTGAAACAGAAACTTATATTTCTATTTATGTTGAATATAATTATTTTACTATCATTTTATGAAATAAGATGCCAATCTAGCGTTAGCTTTTCATTTCCATTTACAGTTAGAAGTGGGTTGAACTACTGTCTTAAAATTCATTTCAGCAATTGAATCTGAAATTGATTTTTAATTATTACAAGGAATTATTTCTGAAAGCTCTTTGGAAACGTTAGTTTGAAAAGATTTCACAGTAGGGCAAGCACCAAATTTCAGATTTTTAGCAAGGGAGAACAAATGTTTTCTAGATTTTTTTAATTTGAAAATTTAAGAAAATTGTACACGAAAACATGCTAAAGCAATAAAATTAAATTCACAATATGCAAAACAAGAGAGAAAAAGAAAATAAGAGGGAGATATGAACTGCATATTTGTCAATGGCACGACATAATTGTGTTGTTTTTAACTCAACATTAAACAAAATAAAAATTGAGATGTTGAAATTCGTAACAGGAATACTTATTTGAATGAGATGTGATCGACGTATGGTAATGGCGTCACTCTGGTGATGGTAAGCTCCCGTTTGGATGAAACCGTCAACAACTGATATTACTCGCGCAACTTTTCTTGAACGATGGATTGAAGAAATGCGGATAGAGTGAGGGTATTAGTTACGAAATCGGCCACTAGATTTTACGAAGTAATGCCTGTCTCTGGAGAATCAGTCACGCCTTCGTAACGTTCTCAATAATTTGCGTTCTAACTTTATCAGGAGTTCGAGGTATCTCCTGTGATAGATCCGTACCTGCTGCGGACATTTCTTTAGATTTTTGGAGAAAATAACCGATAGAAGTTCTCGTCTTCAAAAGAAAATTGTTTCTATTTCACGTCAGTGAAGATGTGTTTGGAATGTTGTCATCAGTGCTCGCTGCGAGCTTTTGCCTTCATCTGTTTATTGTGCCAGAGAGGGGGAAGCAAGGTCATTGTTCAAGAAAAGTTGTGCGAGTAATACCTGCCAGGAGCACACTTGCATAAATCGCAGTATAGTTTTGAATAAATGTAGTAACTTTTTTAAAAAAAAGTTAGTTTGAGGGATTCCCCCGCTTTGGATAAACCTTTGCACCATTTTCTTCCTAAGGTTATTCTTATTTAAAAAAGGTTTTGTGTGAAGGATGCTAACGACCTGTGCGTATCTCGTCTTGCTTCCTCGAAGTTTGCGGTAGCGGTAACACTGCACCTGAGGTTGGTACTACCGGACCCCTACAACTAAACACAAAGACGGCAGTTCATAATTTGAAGCTAGTTAAATGCTCGGTGCGGCTCTTGTAGCTTTCTCTAAAATCTATGTTCCGCCAGCTGGCATGAAAACAAAAACAACAAAAATACTTATTCAATAAAAACCAATCGGTGATTGTGTAATGATGTAGGACGCTGGAGGACCTCAAATGCCTTTAAATATACAGAAGTTACCACTGTCCTTCTTTTAGAGTAATTATACGTACAATAGCTGCTAATATTATTTATTAAGAAATTACAAAGGAACTGCCTCTCAGATCATAGCGAACGTAGACTATCATTCATTTTAAACAATACAGTAGAACACAACGATATATGAGTATAATAATTTATTTATTGCTTTAGGCTTTGAATTGAGTGCTTGTCAACTTTAGCAAAATGTTCCCACAAAGTTGCCCGCTTGAGGATGCACTGCTGCACGGCAATCAACGACATACCTTTTTAAACCAGCGAACAGAAAACTATAAGAGCCTAAAACTTCGGGCTAGAGCATTGTCCTAAAAGTATGAGCTGTCTTTCTTTGTGTTCTGCTATGTACCAACCAGCTTTATGGCCATGAGGCGATTACTTCATATACGTTTTATGAAGGGCTAAGAGACTTGTTGCGACAAATTCGCATTTTTGTATATTGTACGCTGTATCTGGGAACCACAGTATGTTGTTAAAGAGAACGTTGGAAAATGTTTAGAATAAAAGTAAAAAGTATATCTGTGGTGTTAAATTTATTCACCTCCTAATATAAACAACAATTGAAAAGGAAAGTGTGCCCTTCTTTAAAATTGTTTTACGAACTCCTCTTCTGAAATAGTTCCGGGTATTTCGCTATTCGGTGAACTATATTTTGTAGCATTAACGGATTCTGTTTGTTGGTCTTCCTAAGTTAATGGACAGGATACAAGCAGTGGCGCAGCGAGACAAATTCAAATGGGTTGACAGGCGCACCAAGAACAAATTTTTCCCTGTAGAGAGTTCCAAGCATTGTTATAAATCTGTTTTCGTTCTTTTTTGACGCCGTCCGTAAAACAATAGAGCAATAACTGCATAACGCCGAGGTCACTTCAGATTTGGGCAAGTGTCGACCTTCCGGGCGTCCAAGCTTCCAGGCTTGGAGAAAAGAATTTCCGTTAATGAGAAATTAATTAAAAGCGTAAGTGCCGGAATTGCAAATGGTAAAACTAGTTGTTGGATGTTAAACTAAATGGTTTCAATTGTTTGACTGTGATGCCATCGGAGCTATTAGCATTAGATTTTAGTGAAGTAACAATATGGCTAACATCCTGATCTGTTATGAAAATAAAATTTATCCCTGGCAGCAGGTGAATTGGTTGCCAAAGTCTGTAATATTTTGTTTGGAACAAGGCGGTATCGGTTTTGGAATATTGATAAAGTAGTCATTAATGTCATCCAAGGGCATGTCGACAAGAATTTCAGACTAAAGTTCCTTTCGTGTTCCCGAGGTCGCAGTGTGTCCCCAGCGTTTGTATTCGTTTTTGCTTTGAAAATATCATGATTCCGAAGTTTTGCTTTATGGAAGTACGTAACTTCTTTTACGCTCTTTAGTTTTCAGAGGTTTTATTAGAAAAGATTGTAAGCTGAGTCGCGTTCCTGCTTACAACTGAATTGTTTAATTCAGTTGTAAGCTACGGTGCCGCAGTACGTGTCACAGGTCGCGTTTTTCCATGGTGTATGTTTACCGAATGGATCAGATATAAATTCTGTTGAAAACTTCACTATTAAGAGATGGTTGAAAATAAACGTGCCAGGTAGGTTTGGAACAGTCTTCGCACATGGCCTTAGAACAGTGGTGGTCTGTGTGTTGCGAATTAGGAGGGGCGGCAGGTTTGACCAAACCATCATGTACATTTTACTTCTTTATAATATTTCTTGAACAATGAAAACTATGGCATGCAGAGATCACCTGATTAGAAACATACCTGAATTTTAATCCTTGTTTAAGACAACTTTTACGTTGATAACGGAAGATACAATTAGGCTCACGCGAAACTAAAAGATTTTTTTTAAAAAAATATTTCCAGCAAACAAACCGGTAATTTGCCGGCCCAGATGGCCGAGATCGTTGCGGCAGTAGTGCCGGTGCGATCTCGGACCGAAGAATCGCGGATTCGAATCCCGCCTCACGTTTGGTTGATTGTTCGTCCTTTCACCCCTTATCACCATAGCATGTCATCTTCACAGTTACCATACCGTGAAATGCAATAGTTGTCGCCAATGACCTAGATGTTGATGCGACCTTAAATAACAAAAAAAAACGTTAATTTATGAAATCAGTTGAAAGGGTTGGTATTCGTAACTCA